TTTGGTTGCCGACCCATTTGAAGTATGGGCTCTGGGTTACGCTGTTCGTAGACCTCAATTTTCGCCTTCGCGCGCCATTCTCATCTCTTCCTCTTATAGGAACGAATTAAGCAAAACAAGGGCACCGTCATTGACAACTGGCTCAAGTCGTACGAGCAGGCACAAGTAGAGGTTTCCAAGCTCAAGAATCAGTACTTGGCCAAGACAAGACGTGCAGACGATGCCGAGGACGAGTGCGTTTTTGGACATGCGTCGTAATATGTATCCCAAATCTCACATTCCCCACAGTGCCAAATTTGCACCAAACACTGGTGGAAGCGTCCCTGACAAGTACACCACCTCCCCGCGCATGCGTCCCGTTGATGGACGCGGAGCACCCACGCGCACTGCCAGCGTCTCCGAGCGCATCTCCCAGCGCCTCAAGGAGATCCAAAAGAAGAGCGCCGGTGCTCTCCACTCAGCCCTCGCGGAAGACTCCTCCCCTGCTCCCCCTGCCGAGGCCGAGAAGTCCATTCCCAAGGTCGACAAGGGCAAAGGCAAAGCCGTTGACCTTGACCAAGATCAGGAGCAGGAGCATCTGACGTCTTCACCCCCGACCTTGTCCCCACTGCTTCCTCCACGCGAGCTCGACGCGGCGCCAACGCCGCCATCGCCTCCCGCGCCTATGCTGTTGGCGGGACTCTCCCTGCCCCCGGCCGCAGTGTCGCAGCTCCTCACCCGCGCTGCGGTGGAGCTTCCTCTGCGCCCTGTGCGTATCCCGCTCCTCGGCGAATACCCAGACTGCTTTTCTGGCGAGGAGTTCGTGACGTGGCTTAACGACAACGTGCCAGGCTTCGGCGGGAGTCTTGACCGCGCGGAGGATGCTGCTAGGGATCTGACAGAGCGGGATGGGCTGCTTAGACGGATTGGAGAGCTCGGGAACCAGTTCGAACATGCTGATGACGCGTTCTATCAGTTCCGACCCAAGGCATTCGATTTGGAAAACGCAAGCACAAACGCAGTTACGCCGTCGTCGTCGGCAAAGAGCCTCAGGCCCGAAATAGCTAAGCGCACTGGAAACCTCGTGAATCTTGTTAGCAAGGTGCTTAACAACAATGCAAATGGCGAGCCTGCGTTTGTGAGGGCACGCCAGGAGGCAGACCAGGCGGACTATAACTACAGACTTGCTGTGCGGAAGCTTGATAGGCAGCGCCTTGGCCTTGAGGAACGCCTTGAGGAGATGCTCAGGGCATTGCAGCGCTGGGAGACGGAGCGGTTGAGAGCTGTCAAGACTGGTGTGTTTTTTCGCTCTTTTATCGTTGCTTCGCAGCTTATGCAAAATTTCTTCATTTTTAGTGCTTCTGCAGTACCAAGGCACACTCGCGAACCTCCCCAAGACACTCGAGCCGTCCATCGAGCGACAGGCCACACTCGTCGCGTCCTACCAGCCGGAGAACGACCTCACCGCGCTCATCGAGCGCTACCGCACAGGCCCCTTCCGCCCCGATGCTCAAGTTTACGAGAGCGTTGCACATGACGAGTCGGATGTCGTCTTTGGAATTGACTTGAGGAAGTGGGCTGAGGGTGGGTGGCATGCGCTTACCACGGGCGAGGAGAAGAAGGAGCTTGTGCCGAACGTGCTTACTACACTCCTGGAAGGAATCGGGGAGGCATATGGGAGGTTGCCCAACGATGCTGGTGGGTTGCTCGAACCCCTTTCACTTCCCTCTTGACATGATCTTCCAGAAAAACGCAAGACTTGGATTTACGAAGTACCTCTCCCTGCGGTGCACCACCTGCGCGAGGCGCTCAACGGCCATCCGATCGAAGAGCCAATCCCCAAGGAGTTGGTGGCCAAGTACGATGCGCCTGTTATTGCCAGCGCCATCAAGCTGTGGTTGCTCGAGCTCGACCCGCCACTTGCCCTGCACGAAGGCTGGGACGACCTGCGTAGGCTGTACCCCACTGTTGGCTCGTCTGCGGCCAAGGCGGAGGCGGAGAAGTCTCCTGAGGATCATATTCAGAGCGTCGGCGCGGCGCTGCAGAGGCTCCCTAGAGTGCATTTGTATGTGCTTGATGAGGTCGTCAAGCACCTTAAGGCGTGAGTTTCCTTGCTTTACTTACTGGACTGTGACTGATTTTGTTGGCTCTGCAGCCTTATCGCTTCCACGACAGTCGAAGAGTCGGATGAAGTCTATTTCACCAAGTTGGCCCTCTCTATTGGACGAAGTGAGTGTTTAGAGGTCGGCGTTGTACCGTCGTTGATCAATCCTCTTGTAGCTATCGTCAGGCCCAAGGTTGAGACAGAGCTGTCCATCCAGGATCGTCATCCCACGCGTAAGTTCGTTCTCCCTGTTCCACGACGTACACGCTAACGTCCGCAATAGTACTGTTCATCGATCTTCTGAAGAACTACGATGTCATCCTCCCTCCAACAATCAACCGCAAGAAACGTGAATCCGAACGCAAAGTTCCCGTCAGGAGGCGCACAAGACCCGTCGACATGCGCGTCAGTAGGAGCAGAATTTCTGTAGGCGCTGACGCCAAACAGCTCCTTGCGGCTCAGCAACTCGCGCAGAATCCCTCGTTGATCAAGTCTCCTACGAAATCACCTGAGCTTCCGCCTCTCCCTCCCCCAATTGCTATCACATCTCCGCCCCCGCGCTCGCCTATAACTAATAGTACAGAGTCTCCGGCACCTGTGGTACCACCCCCGCCCCCAGCAGTACTTACCCCGCCCCCGCCTCCTCCTGTGCTGGCGACGCCACCTCCACCCCCCGTTCAAGCCACTTCAACGCCGATTTCACCACCTCCCCCACCACCAGCCGTTTCGAGGCCCGCCTTCAAAGAGCCTCCACCCGAGGTTGATGACCAACCTTCTCGCCCCGCATTCAAAGAACCCCCTCCTGAAGCCGACGAGTCTGACTCTTCTGCTCCCTCATCTCGCCCTACCTTTGTCGAACCCGCCTCCGAAGACGATGATGCTGCCCCCATCCCCACGCCGCCACCGCCTGCTCCTGTCGCCTCACCTCCGAGGACGACCGTCATCCCACCTACGCCCCAAAAACGCAGTAGTGTGAGCCTGTCTCAATCACGCTCAGGGTACGGTGCCGCCAGCCCCTCCCCCACCAAGTTCACTTCGCGCTCCCCATCGCCGCATTCTGCCTCCGAGGACCAGCCTATCTCCACAGCTCGCTCCACACTCTCACGCAACAGCTCCGCGCAGTCTACTGCCGCCTCCGGTGTGCGTGGCCCCAGGCTTGCACGGGGACCGCGCGCCCAGGGTGGCAGTGTGTCGAGTATGGTGTCGAACTTTAACAGGAATAGTACGGCGGGGACGAGCCCGCCGGCGCCGGGCTCACCGATCAGGAGCTCGAACCCGAATGCCAGTGTCAACAGGTTGTCGGGCAGTCCGGTGAGGCGCCCATCGAGTGTGCTGGGTCGCAGTGCGGCTTTCTCCAGGAGGACGATGGCGAGTGATGCAGAGGACGACATTGTGGAGAAGAAATAAGTTGTAACTGGAGTCATGGTGTTGTGGATGATTGCTTCAATTTTTCTATGATATATGGTTGATTTTTTGCTTTGAATTCTGGACGCTGACTGCTGTAACGTATATAGGCTGCGATGTCTGCTGTCACCAGTACTTGGAGTACCCTATCCTATGTTAAATATGGCCTACTTATGCTTTCCTGCCTGTTTCCTTTCTGCATCAATCGTTTGATGCTGTTTGTGTTCAACGTTCTACCATCATGAACATTTTTTCTACTCCCAGCGCACTCCAACTTCCAAGAGACATCAAGACGAGTGCTGAGAGCTGAGAGCTGCAACAGGAGAGGAGTATATTGATTCTGAAGGCGATAATTCGGGAATCCCGACTCCATTCCGACAGCATGGCCCCCCCCTTTGCGTTTTTCGAAACTTGTTACCCTTACCAAGGCAGCGCTCCGCACGTCAGGCAGGCTCAAGCCCTTTCGTCTTTCGCCGGCTTCCGCTATATCCTCCTTCGGGATCAAAACCTTGCTATGGGGGCAGGATGCCATCTCCTATGGGTTTAAGCTTGACGACTCACCTCCCCCCTCCGAGCTTCATCTTGTGGTCCCGAACGATCAAGTTGGCGCAGCGTCGCAGTGTGTCATATCTTCCCTTCCCTACGTCCCCCTCGTCGGCGCGTATCCGCCGTTTGAGGATGACAAAATCGCAGGCTTGCCGCAGCTACCAGCAGGGTATGCCCACTCAGCGATTCTCAGATTTACAATCCGGCGGATCCGAAAATCTTCTGAGGACGAGATGCCAAAAATTGTTGTCATTCATCCTGCGTCCGCTTTCCACTTCGATATTTCCAGTGTCTCGCTTTTTGTCCTTACAGGGCGCACCGCGGGTTTCCAACGAGGATCCCATGCGCACTCTCCCAGTCTACGAGTCCTCAATCCTTCCATTTCCCTATCAAAAGAATACGAGACATGTAGCCTCATCTTGCATCCAGCATTCTTGTACCAACACGCGCTGCATTTCTCAATGCCGTTTTGGTGACATGTCTAGACCCGTCTCCTAGCACCTACAGCCCCCCACTCCCCATTACCTGGAACGGCTGGGTCTGGCAAACCCTGAGATGCCCAGGTCTCCTACCGGAAGGTCATTCTTGGGTGCGCCGTGGCGGAATCGTGTACCCCAAGCTGCGGACACTGCTCGCCAGGCTTCGACCAGAAAATCGCCCGTTCTTCATGTCTATGATTGGCGCTGGAACTTGCTTGTTCGAGGATGCGGTTCGTGAGCGAAAGAGGATGCTTGAGCAAATTGCCACCGAAAGGTATGTAACTGGCCAGGAGACGAGTGAAAAGGTACACACAGTGAATGACTGGGTGTATGGGAGATCTCATCAGGGGGACGACACAGCAGTTAGGAGAGTATATCGAGAGCATAGCGTTGGGACAGCGAATTAGTAGCGAGTACGAGGCAAGCACGGTGAATATTTCGGGGAAAAAGAAAGCGATTACCGACGTAGCAGAGTACTTCAACTTGTATCCGACCTGCCTGGCTCGAACAGGCGACATCAAGATGTCCTTTGATGAATTTATCCGTTACAGTCTTGCGCTCTTCCAACTGAGCTAAGATCGGGTTACGGTATCGTAGCGTAACATCTTAATTATGGGTACAGTGTGGACAACTTCACTCAGTCTCCAGAGTCTCTGTGGCGAGGTATCGGTAACCGCCGCATAATATAAGTACTGTTAAGGCCCTTGGAAGTCAGTATGGCATGGAGGTGATTAATCTTGAGGGCGATAGACACAGATTATGAGGAAACACTCATATAACTCCATCGGCAGTGATGAATTCGGCATTTCGGACACCTACAATGTATTTGTATAGGATGGCACAAGGCGAGTACTGCGACAACATACCATCGGTGACCAGTGCTCTGCCAACGAGGACATACATCATATGAATTCTGCTTACTTATACGGCACCAACTTTTTGGATCGTCGTCGCTCCTCCAAGTGAGATGGGGGAGACTCCGAGTCACGAACATGAGGGTAGCAGCATCAGGCTGATAAATAATAGACGTTGTAAAGCCTTTGTGGAAAAGGTAGTTCAGGATGATTGACGTGACCACGTCCCCCACGCGATAGCCTCCTCGCCTGGCACTATCCAACCACCGAGCTTGGTATTTTGGAAAACCGGCAAACGATGATCAGCGTCTCGCGTAGAGTTTATAACTCAAATGGGCTCACCATTTTGAATCTGTCTGGAGATAATCGATTCCAGTTCGCGCACTAGTAGTCGAAGTTTATTTCACTGTCAATTTGAATTTGAATTTGAATATTGTCAAAACGCGACCCCGTGACGAACGTGATGACGACGTGGGACACCTTCCCAAAATGGAAGGGGAGTACTGCCAGACCTGCTCTTGGCCCACCAGCACCCAGCGCCAGGCTGGGGCCGCTCTTTTGCGCCTACAACCTGCAGCGCACATGCATTCCTCTCATGTATCTCTGCCACACACCTCTCATAATCAGTGGTGCCACGTTTGGCGTCACTCGTTTGAACCTCGATCGGTGTCGGTCTTCAAGAACGCTGCGTTCAGTTGCTTTCGCTACGCAAATACAAGGAAGATCGTGCCCATACGTCGCCTGGGCCGGCTTGCGCCACAGTATCTTCAGGATCTTTGTATCTCCCCAGCCTTACCCTCTTTGTTTCGCGATTTCCCCCAGTGGGCTCAAAATTCCTGTGACCTCCGAGGACCAGTGACAACAAGCCGAATGTTATTCATCGCCATTGGCCAGCGCTCAGTGTTCACAGATTAAAGTTTCGACTCTGGTTGACAGTGCTCAACGCTCATTGGCCCGCGGTGTGCTTCCTGCAACAACCTGCTGAAATCCTATAACAAGCGGCGAACGCTTTGCTTTCACTCAATCGCCCCTTCGTTCCCTTCCTCCATGATCTCTGGCGCTCACTCTTTCCTCTGGCGCTCGCCTCTTCTCACTCTTATGCCTCGACACTGAATACAACAAGGCGGAGCTCCACCTCGCACCGTGCGCGAAAGGCTTAACGCTAAGTACAATCCCAGTCCTAGTTCGTTCAGTGCACATCCACAAAGCGTCCCGGCGGCTGGTGTCCGTGCGGGCGTGGAAGATCGTCTCGAAAGGGGCGTGACGGGGGGACAGATGGTTCGCCCTCATTCTGGTACTCTCATCTTTTCGATGGGTCCGATCGTCCTTAGCGTCTCGGCGCGGGGCGATTGAAAGGCATCCGGGAGTGATATTACCCGTTAGGTCAATCCTCAGCCATGATGTACGTGTGCGCCCGCCACTCGGTGCATCCCAGGGTGTATCCATGCCGATATCGCCTCGCACCTCTCATGGCCCACGGGCTGGTGCGACTGAAAATGGAATTCACACGTGTACTGTTCGTTCCAGACTGGGCTCTTGTATCTTTGACGTCAAGCGCGGCGAGGTGGAGGCTCCTTGGGGCCCTATTTCTCCACGCTTGCTCGTATCGTTCTTCCGCATTGCTCCACAGCTGACTTGCTCTCTTCCAGCTCGGGGCTCTTCAGCCGAAGATTCGGGCCCTCCTGCGAGAAATTCAAGGCGAGCTTTCCATCCATCTTCCCTGTTATTTGAGCGTTGGAAGGAACGGGTCAGCCTTTTGGGCGAATCTACTCAAGGCGAGCACGCCAAACAGCTTGCCTGATATCTTCGGCTGACACTTTGTTGAGTCCAGTCGTCGGCTCGCGGGACTTCTTCCCAATCCTCAACGCGCTCACCATGACTACCGCTCCATCTTGCCATCTTGCTCCTTGTATGTAATCATTGCGCAGCTCAGTGTATTTCGAACCGACGTGGTGGAAAGCTTTCCTCAAAGAGGTTTTAATGCTGCCCCACTCGCCTTTTTTATGTAGTCTTTACTTAGCTCACTTTTCTAGTGTGTCCTCAGCAATATACTTTCGTCGCTGCTGCTTGTTGCCTTTCTGCCGATCGATCGCTTGATGCTGTTTGCCATGTTCAACCATGGATATTTTTCCTACACCCAGCGGAGGACAGTAAACTGCAGCAGATTGTTAAGTCGGTTAGCTATGGATATCAAGACGAATAGTAAGGTACATTACAATGTACACGTTTACAGTGTACACGAACTGTGGTTGTGAATAAGGGTATCTATACACAGCATATCGAACAGCGGTTGGGAGAGTATAGCGAGATTATAGCATCGGGTTAGGCGAACATGGGGCAGGGACGAAGGAAAGTGGAGCGTCAAATTTCTTGTGAACGATCCTCCTCGCGCTTGGTTTTGCCAGACTTGGTGGGTAGCAGCTCGGGAGCGATGAAAGGGACTGTACAAAATAGCTGTGAGCCTCGCGAACATGGTGTGAGTGTTCGAAAAAGGAACACACCGACGCCACCCTGGCTGATGATCACGTTCCCGAGTAGTTTATTGAGTCTAAACAGCGCGTCAGTAATTTCGTTAATAGTGGATGACGATCAGGTCACGTACTCCTCATCGTTGCGAATGGCAAGCTGCAGATGGCGGGGTACAATGCGGACTTTCTTGTTATCGCGTGCGGCGTTCCCAGCCAACTCCAGAATCTCTGCAGCGAGGTATTCAAGGACTGCCGCGAGGTACACTGTTTGAGGCATTGAAATTCAGCATGGAACCGGGGTGATCAAAAAACGCGCGTGACGCGCCTGGGGCCCCGGATCCGATGCGCTTCGCGAGATTACTCTTCTTGAGGAGACGGTGAATACGGCCGACAGGGAACTGTAGCCCGGCACGTGCAGAACGCGTCTGCTGCTTAGAATCTGTGTCGCCGCTTCTGCCTTTGCCAGAGAGCTTGCCGCTGTAGCAGATAAGGGTAGTATTGAAAACGTTGTAGACGCGTTTAGACTCGTTTGGATCGGGTCAAAGTTCTGTTCACCTTTTTCCTTTGCCTGTCTGGTGATTCAATGACGCGTCAATAGTAGTAGAAGATAGAACACGAAGAAAAAGTCGCGTACCATGTTGAAAATTGGTGGGTGTTGGGAGAGATAGACGCGAGTGCATTGCAAGGTATGTTTGTCATCCTTAAATAGGCGCCGGGAGCGGAGCTGTAACTGACCAAGGAATAATCTTTAATTAGTTAGAAGGAGCATGAGAATCTTCAAGTATTTCGGCGACGCCACCTCCGACTCGGAACTTCCGAACCTCGAATGTTTTCCCCAGCCAGCGGATGACAGTGCAGTATGACTCGAGTTACGATGTACTACTAATACAGCAACTTGCAAGTTGGGACACATTATGAGGATCCCGTTGAACGGAGGTCCGAATCTGATGGCGTCTGTCTTCCAGGAAAGGCTAGTAAAGATTATGTACTGGGTATGCTCGGCGATCAAATGTGGCATTTTATCCATCATCCCCAGTTTTGTAAGTCGCTGCAGTTACCAGAGGGAGTCTCGAGCGTTCGAGTGGTGGCTGAGTCCCAGATGTGATGTGTTCTTTTCAAACTGAGATTGCAGAGGAACGCGTTGTGCCGCGTGACGAACGCGACGGCACGTGAGAGCGTTTGCCTTCCCAAAGGGGAATGCAAAGAATACATGAGCCTCAGGTGCAGGCTCTTTGGCGCTTCCACAGCAGTGCAGACGCATTCCTTTCGAATCTCTCGTCCACGGGCTGCACGCCTCTTATAATCAGCGGTGCCACGCCTGGCATAACTCCGTCTGAACCTCGATCACGACTCTCGCATGGCTACTCCTCCAGTAGCCCCTCCCATCGGAACTCCAACGCCGACACCAGTACCGGAAGGATTAGTCCCCACCAACGAACAGGTATGTCTTTTTTTATCAGTCCTTTGGCTAATGAATGACAGACGTACGTCGCAGGTGGTCGTTATATATGTCGTACGTTGCTTGTCCAATGCAGGCTGGCTTACAATGAATCAGGGAGCACTCGATAGATCCTTGCAATGTCGGTCATTATCTTCGGCTTCTGGAACGTTCCCGTCGTGCGCAACATCATCAACCCACTCAAGCTATTTACCATTGGTCTCCACGAGTTCTGCCACATAGTTGCTGTACGTCGCTGCTGCCTAACTTGATGCACTGCTAACGAAACCCTAACACATATAGGCCGTGCTAACAGGCGGACGAATATTACGCATCACAATCGATCCGCACATCGGGGGAGCCACTATCGTCGAGGGCGGACGGCCCACATTCATCCTCGCGTCCGGTTACATAGGCTCCGGACTCCTCGGCGGCCTCTTCGTCCTCGCGGGATACAGTACCTTGGTTGCAAAAGTTATGAGTTTTGTGCTGGGGATCGGACTCATCATGCCACTGGCGCTTGTTCGGGATAAGCTGTGAGTTCGATTTCAGGGATTCGGGTTGTGATGCTGACGCGGTATTTCGGTGTAGGACCATTCTACTTACGATCATTTACGAGGGACTGTTGATTGGGTTTTGGTTCATTGACCATGCGCAGCCTTTACGCTGGTATTGTCTATTTATCGGCATGATGAGGTACGGGACTATACGTTCCCTGCCTATTCTCTGTCCTCATTATATATATTCTTCCCCTGCCAGCGTCCTTTTTGTTGTCTGTGCGTACCAATCCGGCTCTGATTGCTTCTCTCATCCAACCAACTT